TAAATTGAGTTCGAGTAATACTTGCATCGATACAAATTCAGTCGAATCAAGACTAAACATTTTCTAAGAAGATCATAATATTCTTGTTTATATACGAGAATATCTATTCTTGATTCAAGACTAATTTTTTCTGTGTAAGCTTTCAAAATTATATATTTAAAAAATCGGTTTTTTGAACATTCAATATCACCAAACCTCCCCCTATTCTCGCTTAACGAGCGACCAATCCGGGTTCGCGGAGGAGCGAGGCTCTCGAAGAGAGCGAGTCCTCCCTAAGTCTTATCTCTCCCTCTCTCGTGGAAGAACGCGGAAGATCGCTCGCGTCTCCACGCCGAATCTTCCGTTCGTGCGCGATTAATCGCACGTCGGGGGGTGACACGGAGTGTAAATCCGCGAAGGCGCAGGAGAGGGGAGGGCGCATGTCACACCGATTGCACATCCGCTTCCGTCGCCGATGGCTCCGGCCGCGCGCCATTATAAAATCGGCCCGGCGAAAGAAACGTAATATTTATTGCCGGCTTCCGTTCAATTAGGGGTTGACACGGGCCCGAGCAGGGGTCGACCTCCACCAGCTCTCGCTTGTCGATGCTTTCGAAATCTATGTTTCCACTCGTCCTCCCCCTGCCCTCGCCGCTGGTGCCGCTACTACTGCTGCTACTACTTTGCAGGGGCGCTCGAATTTATACATTGTTCACTCTCCCCTTCCGATCCGGGACGACACTCGCGAAACTGCTCGAGAGGCCTTTTTTCTTTCTCTCGCGGTACGGGGGCGGACGAAAGCGAGGGAGGGGGGGATGTAGAAAGCGTAGTAGCAAGGGGTTTGTAAATAACCGCTTTCTCGCGATAACGATCGGGATGTATTTGCGAGCGATATTTAGGGGAAGGAATAATAGATGACTGCGGAGATTGCGTATGAGAAAAATCTCCGATAAAGATATATTGAATTCAACTCATTGAGCAAGAACGTGACGTCGAGCGAAAATGACGTCGCGTAAACAGTCGCACTTCGCATCTGTATCGCGTCGCTGTCCACTTGACTCCGCGTTTTCGCGAGAACACGTGCTGCGACAATCGATAAAATGTTGTTAAATGTGAGATTAAAGCACGCGAATGTTAATTAAACTTTCAATTTAAACGTCCAGGAAAGAAGTGTGTTAAGATCGTCGAGGTTCGCATCGAGGTCCCATGGTGTAATGGTTAGCACTCTGGACTTTGAATCCAGCGATCCGAGTTCAAATCTCGGTGGGACCTGGTCACCCGGTGACGTGTTATTTTTTTTTTTATTATTATAGTTCCCACAAGTTTTTTACTGTATCTTTACAATGCGCATAATATTACCTGAGCGCATTTCCATTTATTTCCATATAAAATTGCTGCTGAATATATCCGATTACGTCACTCGCGCGTGATGCGGAACTTCAACTCTCGTGCGGCTAGAATACATTCAAACGTCATTTCTCTCTAAAACTAGTTCCTTTCTCATCCTTTCTAAAAAGGGATCGTTAAATTTAAATCCAAAATTATGGAAATGATTGTTTTCGCTTTTCCTTGATGCTAATTGGTTGTCGCTTGCCGCGTCGTAGCTTGCTTCACACGTGTCGTTTACAGCTGTCAAACCATTACGTGAATTCTACCAGTTCATCAATTTGCGTGTTAAAAAAGATAATTAATTAAAATAAAGAAATATATATATATATTGTTTTTTTTTCTAAATTATATGGTTCTAAGTAACGGAATTCGTTAAAGAAAAGAGGAGACTGAAAATTGGTTTATTACATGTTACGTTATCAAAACATATATATATATATGTATATATATATGATTTATTCTACTTATCTAGAAAGCAAGTCAAGAGAAAGTTAATTTCGCGCACAGGAATGTTTATTATTTCCCAGATCTATTTATGGAGATATTGAGAGTATTGGGAAAAAAAACGGATAAACTCGTTCCCCGCTGTGCGACGTGCCAATTGCGAAAGTCGCGCTCGATCTTCGGTCGAAATCGCTCAATCAGCAATCACGCGGCACCCAGTGCGTTCCAAAGCACACACACACACACGCACACGCATATACTCGTTCATTTATCGTCTAGGCGTAATCACCGAACGATCCGCGCGAGGCTCGGCGTTATCGCGATTCGGCCGCGAAACGCGGCCTCTCGTTCCGCGCGCTGTCCATCAGCCCCTTATCTACCGAATCACTGCCGGACGTATCCGTGACTCTTTTATTACCTGTCGTTTCGCGGCCGGTGTCGCTGTTACGGCGCGACGCGATAATACCGATAATCGGACGGGGAAAAGCGGCAGGAAGCGCGAAGAGGAGCGAGTCGAATTGCGCGCGCTCGAAGAAATACGATCGACTCTGTCGCGGTTGATACGCGAGTGATTAGAGGGCCGCGATACGAGGGTGATTTTCGATTCCAAATCCGACGAGGAGATTGGAGGATCGGACCGAGGAACGGGCGTGGTGGCGCACGAGTCGCGATGCATCGCGGAAGAACAACCCGTGCGCATTTACGAGCCGCGTTGCGCGCGAATTCCGCGTGGTTAAAAGAAAGGAAAGGGAGAAAGGAAGAAAAATCCAGCGCGTTATAAATTTCCCCGCCGAGTGCCTTGCGTAACTTTACGATCCGAAGATTTTTCCGACCGCAGGCGGGGAATAATTTCACGCGAACGAGCACGGGACGGACGGACGGCGCGTCGGACGAAGAGAGGAGATGAGACACCCGTGTGGAAATGTGCCCATGCTGCTTTATCGTAATCTGCGCCGGGGCAAGTGTCCGCGGTACGTTTATCCGCTGACCGTTTCGCGGCGCGCATAAAGAGCGGCTTTACGATCCCGCCGAGACGGCGTATTGTCAGGTGGGCGGACACGCGAAAGCGCGTCCGTATATCCACTCCGCAGGTGGCTAGCTGTGTACATAGGGCGTCCCGTGAAACTCGAATGCTTCGAGCTTGATCGTGCGATTGGGACCTGCGCTATCATGTCAAGAATATACGTTGGTTTTGCGACACCCTATGTATCATTTCATATATAATTTACATCGAATTTTCATCGTAGACTAATTAATGTTTAATCGGTTAATTATTTAAAGTTCACACGATCAACTGTCCCGAAGTGCCTACGAGTCTCTCACCCGTCGATAACGAGTTTTATCGCGATCGCGAACTTTCCGGGACACCGAGTACGTCGCGTCACACATCGGCGTATACACGTGTGCGCGTCACATGCCTCGTATTGTACAGGCATTAGCGGAGGGAAAGAGAGAGAGAAGAGAGATAGGTAGATAGATAGATAGAGAGAGAGAGAGAGATGCGATGGAAGCGTGCACGAGTCGCAAGCGCGAGGATAAGTGCGACCGCTCGGTCTGCGCGAGGGGCTTGCGGAGCAGCATCCATTTAAAATGCGGATACGATACACTTTTTCCCCCGTCCAGCGCTTTTCCCGCCGAGCCTGTTTCGTAAACACACGGAGGAGGTGGGCTTAATGGTGCGCGTTTATGCCGCCTCACGCGCTCTCTCCTGATCGCGCGCGCCCGTCGTCGCCTCGTTGCACAAACCTTCCTCGCGCCGCTACAAGCGCCGCGTGTACGCCCGCGCGATGATTAATTGAGATAGCGCGCGGTTAGCAGTTAGTCATGGCGGTAGGCTCGATCGGATTAGATAAGTCGCCCCGTGTCGCACGCCGACGGCGCGCGGCGGGGAAGTCGGCTCTGTCTTTTCGGAGAGTTGTCGTCGTGATTTATCGTCCCGACGTCAATTACCCGCGGATCCTTCCGAGTGGGCAAATTCAGAATACAAATATTGAAATCGCAATTGTCGGGTCGCGATGCGCCTTGGGAGAACCGCGCGCATTCACAATTGCGTTGCGCGTCAACCAGTTATTTTTACCGTCTCTTCTTGTTTTTTATACTCGTATCTACTTGTTTGTTATAAAATCTCGCAATCGCTAAATTTCGCCATCTCGTAGAAATGTATCCTCATTTCGCAATGCTTCCGGTACGCCGTACGCATTGGCAGACGCGGTAGTTTCGATAGCTACCGAGAATAATCGTCGAATCCCGACTGTTTGTTCCGCATGATTACTCGCGAATAACTCACTTCTCGTCGCCCGACGACCGCAGAATGCGGTATCAACGGCTTATCTAAGACGCCTCTCGTCGGGATCTACAGGTGTTGAATAGATCGTGCATATTCCTGGATACAGAGGGCGGGCGAGGGGGCGGATAACTCGTTATGATAATCACGGCGGCGCTCCCAATCAGGAGTAAATGGCACGAATGAGTAATCGGCGTTCATTAATCCCGGCTAGGTCGCTCGTTTCGTGAACCAGATACCCGCGGCGCGCTCGTATAAGCTCGGGTTTCTCAGCGTGGACGGCGCAGACGACGCCGACGACATTTTCCTACGATCGTTACCGGAAGTTCATCAAGATGTGACAACGCTATCGTGAAACTCTCCCGCGCGCGCGCGCGCGCGCGCTCGTAAAATACTTTCCCAATTTAAATTTGAGCGCGACGATCTCTCTCCCCTGGAACTTTCCGGTTAACGAGCGGAACCCCGTAACTCAGACGGACGATAAAATACTCGCCGTAATGACGAAACGTGTAATCGGGGTTCACACGAGCTTTCATCCTGATATACGTCGCTCGTAGAAGCGCGCCGTCGAAGAGGCATCGGAACGTTAATAGAACGCGCCGATCGTAAACGCAGATTCCGTAACGAGAGATCGGTCGGATCGATTTCTCCTCAGCGGAAATTGCACATTCCATTTTCTCTTCAAATTCTCTCGAATAAATCAATTTAACATAACAATAATCCGGATAAAATAATATCTCGAATGCCACTCGCCTCATTGCGACTATTTCGGGTTTGGCAGTAATACTGGCTGCACGGTAAAAAATTTCCCGTTAAATTTAAGCGGGAAGTCTACTGTGACAAGGGAAAAAACAGGCCGATTTTCCGAATTTTTTTTCTAACAAAATATGACTCGTACATTAAATTAAATTAAACCGTCATCTTTATTATATATTCAAGTATTTGTAAAAAAATTTTCAAGTCGAAATATTCAAAATTGCCGTCGTGGCACTCCTTCAAGTGCAGGTCCGTTTTTTTTAGGTGCCCAAACGGTGTACATGAAATCTCACGTCTGGGTGATCTGAAACAANAAATTTGATGTTATTATTGTTTATAACAATTACACAAAAAACGATATCAAAAAAATGCTCCGCCAGACGAGAGACACTATTCCAGAGAATATGTGGTTAAAATTTCAAGTCGATTCATTCATTAAAACTCGAGATATCGTGTACACCGTATTGAAAAACTTAGTTTCGAGAAAAACGCGTTTAAAGTTTCGGCATTAGTTTTTTCAATGAAAAAATCATTTTTAAGCTTCTTACCATTAATCGCCCATTCCTGCTTCATATAGTACACCTTCTTCTTCAAGGAAATCCTCTTTGAGTGCCGATCGCGCCGTTCTTCTTTCGATTCTCCCTTCTTTTGAAGTGTCGAACGACCGTTCGTTTGCTCGTGATATTCTGCGCTCGTCCACGGTGTTGCATAAATTGAAGGCGTTTGGTCCAATTTTGATGTTCATAACGTCCATCATTTTGAGGATACTGGAGTAGCCTTCATTGAAAATGCTCGCAGCACAATACGACGCAATATCGACGGTTTTTGCGCCGCTGAATGTTTGTTTCGGAGCTAACGATCAGATCATCTGTTGAAATCGTTTCTAACTGACTATAAAATATACCTAGTGACATCTGTTGATCGACTTGGAGTATTAGAAATGTTAGAAATTGAATTGCAAGTCACTACGCTGTACCCGCCGAACAGATAGAAATTTGCCGCAGATACGCGTTAGCGGAGCGCTTCGGTAAAAAGTCGAAATTTCAATGAAGAAAAATTTAGCCGGCTATAACACCTAATGTACCTTATTTTAGAGGATTTAAAGTATTTTTTAAGCCAATAAACAAAAAATTGATTTTTTGAAAATTTTACAGTAGACTTCCCCCTTAATACATTGCTTTTTTCACACGTTTCAAACGATCCACTTAAGTTTTTGTGTAAATTGACGGACAAAATGAATATGTTGAAAAATAGCACGAACATTATGTCAAAAATTAATTCAAGATTAATATATTAATCGACACTGAAGTGTAAAATGTGTTACTTTAACACTTATTGAATTTTACACACATTGAATATCGGCACAGCACAAAATGTTGAGATAACATAAACACGATATGTTAAATTGACGCATGTCAGAAATTTAACGCAAGAATTTTAACACGAGTACAAAATGTTTTTTAACGTGTATTATACTATTGCTACGGCCTCTGGCAAACCTCGCGACAAATATACACTCGCCATATATATTTATATATAGCTACTAACTGGATGTCCAATAAAGTTATGTTATTATTATTATTTCATTAGCTCGAAGATAAGAGTTGAGAAACGTGCAGACGCTTCGAATGTGATCGTTGCCCTCGGCGGACTCGCGTGCGACGCGATATCAGGCGCGCGGGCGCGGCCACTTGGCTCTCTAAATTAATAATCGCGCGAGGTCGAAGTAGCCGCTTATCGCGGCGATAGTTGGCCCTCTGAAACTTTTAAACGTCCCGACGACGAAGGCGTTCGGTCGGTCCGCCGGCCCGCCGGTGTAGCGCGTGGCGCGCGCTCTCGCGAGCGAGCGGAATAAAAGTTACGCGGCAGTAAATTAAAGAGATTTATGCATCCTTCCGCGACGCCGGATTTATCGCGCTTCGGGCTCTCCCGCGGTGAAGCTTAACTGATCGACAGTGTTGAGCTTACTTGGCGAATGTGTCCGTCGGATAGCGAGAGCGCTCCCGCTCGAAAGCGCGCATAACTGCCGCCAGTCCCCCCCCGGAACTTAGCGGCTGTAAAGTCGCCGTCGTAGTCTACCTTATCCGCGAGATAATGCCCGGCATCGTGTCCTACAACGTCCGACAAAGGGACGCGAGACGAAGGATGGAAGAGAGGGTGGGAGAACGACGATACGGTGAACGACGGTTAAACGGCTATTGAGTATCGTCGAGTTCGGAGAGATCGGGTTAGCACCTGACGATCAGCGAACCGTCGAGATTAACGCGAGTTTTGCCAACGAGTGGGTCGTAGACGCGTAGCGACGTAAAGTCGCGCTGAATGTGATACGATGTAATATCACACGAGCCCGAGTCGAAGTTTTGATGCTACTTCGACTCTCTCAAGGACAGTTGGCGCTTGCTTAAATGGCTTGTAGGCTAATGAAAACCCACTTTCGTGATACTGACACTCGTTAACTCCTCACTTGAATTCTATAGATCCATTTTAACGTTACCTTGAACAACCTATCATGACGCTAAAACAACGAAAACGGAAATTAAGACGTCGTCAGGGTCAAAGTAGGAGTAAAATTACATTATTAGAGTTGAAGTTGAACCTATTTTGTTATCTCATCGTGCTCTTGTACTTCGCTCCTACTGTATTGTAGAATTAAAAGTTTAACATAGGACCAAAATTTCGACTTAGGTGAGTGAATATGTGTGTGTGTGTGTGTGTGTGTGTTGAGTGCGAGCTGCGCGATGTAACGTTATAATTGGACTTGGCAGAGGCCGATATTGCGCGAATCGCGAGACGACGGAAATGAAGCTCGGAAATAACGTGCTCGGATTCCGTCGCATTAAACTCGCGTCGCGCGCTGAAAAAGAAATACATTTTGCTCGCTGAGGCTCGTTTTTACCTTCGCCGCCCCACGTCGAAACAATAAGCCGATACGCGCGATTCCGACTCTTCCGCCTTCCGTCTTCCGATCGTAACGCGCGTCTACTTTTGAGACAAGACTTATGGCCGTCTTGCCGGCTAAATGGTGTTCTTATCCGCGAGATAATGCACATCGTCCTCGCGCGGATTACTGCGAATTCAGGCGGGAGAGAGACGGCGAGGGGCGCCGGCGACGTTAAGTGACGCAGCCGATTGGATAACAAACATTTTATCGCGTTTAATTTTCAGAGTGAGCCGCCCCTCCGCGTGCACGCGAGAGTTAAACTTTAACAGCTCCTTCGGCAATAAATAATATTATGCACGGGCCGGGGGAAAAGCGAGCGAGCGAGCCGCGGGGCAATTAAATAAAATGTGATACCGTTCGAGTTATGACGGGAATCTTTATGACTTATGGGCCGTGTACGGCGTATTCCTTAAATCCGGGCGTAAAGTAACTCCCCCGTTTACGTGTATACGCCCGTTTACGCGCGCGCGAAAGAGGCGCGTACAACAGCCCCTTGCGCGCCGTTGTCTCCAAGCGAGATCCCATCGATCGCCGTGCCCGGAATGTTCTTTCGCGGAGAGAGGAAGAAGAAGGATCTGCTCGATAAGCAAGCTAAATATTCGCAGACGCTCGCGCAAATATCGGTAAATAACGTTATCGCTCGTATCGGAAGTATCGCGCTATCGGTACGACGCGGCGCGTAATCCCGACGCTGAGAAACTTCACGCGAATCCGACTGTTCGAGGGCCCGTTTACCCGTAAAACCTCGATACCGAAGATTTACGCGCGTCACGTCAATTATAAACGTGTTTTATTACGGCCTCCGTTAGGGAGGCAACCTCCGTGGAGACCGTGCGGGGGCCTTCGCGATTTTCCGCGACACACCCTCCGATCTGTCGTGTCGTAAAAATGTTATTAGACCTCGAGCGTTGGGAGGCGGGCGACGTTTAAATATGACGAAAAATTATCTTTTTTTTTTATACGCCCAAGACGCGCGTCTCGCGCGTAAAAGCGGTCCGCTCCGTAAAATCGAGTCTCCTTCAGGAGACGCCCGGAAACGGCGTCTTCTTCCTCCGAGGGAGATCGTCGAAGGAGAGGTAAACGGAAACGACGGTGACGGTGTGGTGAGGTGAGATGTGTGTGTATGCGTGTGTGTGTGTGCGCGCGCGCGCCTGTTGGACTCAACGTGAACTACAATGTCGCGACTTAACTGCGCCCTAAAAATTGTTTGTCTACGCGACGCTTTAGAGACGCGACTTATACGATCCATCGCGGCGCCCCTTTTAGCAGGTCCATCTCGCGCTCGTTACTGTCATTGTTTAAGGATGGACTTTAAAGCACCGGGCCGATAAAGCTGTCCGCGACGAGGCGGAGATACGTCGCGCCCGCGTTTCTCCTCGAGAGGCGAAACGGTTTTCGCCGCTTCCTCGCGTTCTCCTTCGGTGGAGAGTTGACGTTTCCTCGAATGTATGAAGAAACGGGACTCCGAAACGCCGGGGGGTTTTCATTGAAATTTTGCCAATTTCGAAGCCACCGAGATACCGCTGGCCGAATCTAGATGCCCGATACGGAGCGATTCGATATTCCGGGATCTGTATTTGGCAATCGGAACACTCGCAGGATCTCGGAGATGAATAATATCTCGCGTATCCGATCTCAGAATGGTGGGCGGGGGGAGGGCTGCTCTGTTTGCGCGTTCTCTCTCTCTTTCTCTCTGTGAATTTTTAGCCGGTATCGCGCTTGGCAACCCGGTCGAATCTCTTAAATAGCGTCCGTCGTGAAATTGGGTAAACGCGAAATATTCGCCGGCGATGCGCGCGCTCGTGTTTTCGCGAGTCAGCGCGCGCAATACTTGCGCGGCGGCACCCTTTCTTCCCTCCTGGCGCAAACTGCGACCGCGATTTTCCTCGGCGACGACGTCGTGAAAACTGTCTCTCACGGAGACCCGGCAGAAACGCGAATCCCTCATTAAACATTCGTCTCTCATTAAACCAGAGCGCGATCTAAGACCTTAATTCGGCGATGAGGAGTAATTAAGCGACGTGGCGGGCGGGCGGGCGCGGGTGCCGTGGCACTTTGTTTCGCCGTAAACCGAGTTTAATGACTTCATGTAAAAATACCCCATCGGCTTTACGATGGTCCCGCTCCTCCTTTCCCCTCCCCTCCCATCGGGAGTCTTCGTTTCCCTTCTCGTGGGAGCTCTCGTCTACGGCCATAATTTTATAGTTTTATGTAAACTGTATCGGGCCGTGAAGCAACGGGCGTCTACGACGCTTTGATGGTGATTGGCGTACACCGTGAGATATAAGATTCTCCCTAGAAGTCCAGTGTTTGCCAAAGGGTGCGCGTGTTTCCTTGCGAAAGATCCGGGGGTGATAGTGTGTGCGGTAAAGGCTCAATTCAACACGTCGGTTGCTTGACTCAAACTCGGGGGCGGAATTTTTCCAACCATATAAGCGCGGAAAATTTTTACCTTTTTTGAGGAGCCATCAAACTAAGGTTTATCAATCTTATATATGAGGAAAAGTGCTAGATTCAAATAATTATTCTAATAGCAAATTTTTCACTTAGATCAAGTAAATTTTATTTGGATCAAGTAAATATATATATATATATATTTTTTTTTTTTTAATTTTTGAATAGGAAAATGAATAAATTTTCTCTTTGGAAAATTTTTAAGAAAAACATCTCGTAGATTAAATAGAAGCTAAAGATATTTTTTATGTTCATTTTTGAGACATAAATGAAATGAATCACCGGCGATACACCAGTAGCCAACATGTTAAGCCTGTCGTTTCATCAATTCGTTAGAATGATCGATCGGTTTTCGTTTCGTCGCTCGCATGTTTCGTCTAGTCCAAAGTTTAGATACTTACCTATGTCGGTTTATCGGTTTCTCAACGTTGAAAAGAAGCATTCTCGATAAAGTAAAACGCACGTGTTAAAAATAGCATTTCCCTCCCGCTTTTAGATAACGATAAGTAGGCGAGCGCTTATCGATGATACGGCTCTGCGAGATGCTGTCTTTTTTTAAACATTAAGGTTTCATCGTCTCGGATTCTAC